CAGTTAGAAGCATATGAATATACAAATGCAATTTTGAAGCTGAAAGATTTTATGCATTTATACTAAATGCCAATGCTGTATACACAGCAAATACTTAAATGCACATCAAAACAATACATAATTTTCTAAAAAGCGCAGCAAGGCAAGGGCAGACTGGTACCATTCAAGTGGGGATTTGGAAGAATAGTATTACCACTTTTTCCTGTTCCAACACCACATTCATGGCACCAAAGAGCCTTGCTAGAATAAGCTATTTATAGCAGGAGTTCTACTTATTTTTACATTTTGTACCTATTAACTACCAACCCAGAAAATGGGTGTGGTGGAAAACCAAATGATAAAGGACACAAAACAGGCTGAGGTTCTCAATGCCTTCTTGGCACTGGTTTTCACAGCACAGTCCAGTCTCACAGCTACCACATTCCCAAGGCTAGTGGCACAGTCCTGGTGAAAGCAAGTAGAGCAAAACCAAATTAGGGACAACTTCAACAAACTGGACACACACACAAGTCCATGTGACCAGGTGGGCTGCGTCCAAGGGTGCTTAACAGAGCTGGCAAATACCATCGCAAAGCCGCTCTATCATCTGCGAAAGGTCATGGTGATCATGGCAGGTTCCTGACGACTAGAAAAGGTCAAATATCAGGACCCTCTTTGAAATGGCAGCACAACCTCAGTCCTTGAAAAGGTTATGCAGAAAACCCTCCTGGTAAGCTATTTTCAGGCACATAAAGGAAAAGCAACAACTGGGAACAGCTTGCAAAGATTTTCCAAGGATAAGCTGTGTCTTACCTATCTGATGGTCCTATATAACGAGAGGACTAGCTCTGTGGACAGTGGAAAAAGCACTGGATGTTACCTTGACCTTAGCAAAGCTTGTGTCATGATCTCATAGTATACTTACAGCCAGAGAGCTTTAACAGCTGAACTACTGAACAGATGAAAAATCAACTGGACAGCTAGACTTAATTGGTTGTAATCAATGGTACAAATTCCACAGGCTGCCAGTTACTAGTCCCCCATTCCTCGGGGACAGATACTGGGGCTGATGTAGCATCTTCATTAACAAATGGACAACAGGATGGAATGGTTGACAGTCAATGGTTGACGCACAGAAGAACTGAGTCACCATTTGGACAGACCTCAACAGACAGGTAGAATGGGCAGACAAGAACCTCAGAAAGTTCAAAGACAAGTGCAATGACCTGCCTCTAGTTTGGAATAACCCTACACTGCTGGACACACTGCAAAGTGGTTCAAAAGCAACTTTACAAAGCAAGACCTGGGGGTCCTGGTGGACAAGCTGAACATGCCTCAGCAATATGCCCCTGTGGCAAAGGCAGCCAGCCAAATCCTGGGCTGTATTAGCAAGAGTGTACGCAGCAGGTGGAAGGAAGCGATTATTCCTCTATATTCAGCACTTGTGAAACTACATCTGGAATCTCCATGTTCAGTTTTAGGCTTTACAGTACAAGAAAGACACTGACATACGGAACAAGTCCAGCAGTGCACCACGAGTCTGAACTACATGACGTGTAAGGAGAGACTAAAAGCGCCAGGTTTGTTCAGCCTTCAAGGAAGGCTACGGAGGGATCCTATCTCTGCCTTCAGTTAGCTAATGGGAGGACAACAACGTACAGGGACGGAGTCAGGCTCTTCCTGAAGGTGCCCAAACTCATGAGAAGCAGCAGTCAAATGGCAAAAAAGAGAAATTCCAATTAAATATCATGAAGAAAAGAAGTGCGTAGCCAAGAAGTGGAAGAGATTTGCTAGAATGTTCATGCTCAGAGATATTTAAAACTCAGCTGGATAAGAACGTGAGCAGCCTAAGCTAATTTCAAAGTTGGTCCTGCTTTGAGTGGAAGGTTGAGCCAGATGCCTTCTAGCGATCCCTTCCAACCTGAAGTATTGTATGTGAGATTGTGAGAGAGTACTACTTTGTTGAGGATTCACCCAAGACTCTACAGCTGTGCAGTACATTTATTATGCATTTTCAAGACAAATAGCTAATTCCCAGTACTGTTTTCGAAGTCTGACAGTATTTCCAAAACTTAGCTAGAAAAAGACAGAGCTATTCTGGATGTGTATGTACATAATTTTGAGGACCATTTACTACAGAGAGATTTAAAACCTTTCACCTTTTCAATATAATTTAGATTAGTGTGAGGACAGAACTTTGAATTTCATCTCTTATTGGATGAGTAATCTTTATCCAATATTTAGAGTTTGTTCTAATATTTACAATGTGTGAAAGGTGGTAATTACAATGTGGCAATTGTCTCTAAAAAAGGAAGTAATTTTATGGTTTGGTGTAAAACTAAAGCAATGCACAGATGTTGCTACTTGTAAACATGCTAAAAAGAAACCCAAAGGTTAATTTTTTTTTATGAAAAAAAATAATCCTTTAGAATTATATTTGTACTTAACAGCATAAATAATGGTATCTGAATCTCCAATCTTAATATAGCCTGCAGATGATTTGCATGGATGCCAGCCAAATCAACAATACACTCAACCCACTGGATTTCAAGAGCTTTCACACAGATTCCACAAACTTACCCATGTGCTTTGAGCTTACACTCAGAGAACATTGCATGCCTAAAGGAAGTTGACTTTGTCTCCAAAGACCACTGCATGCTGACAAGATCAGGGTATTCTAGAAGTGGTCTTACTACAGTGCTGTACTGGTTTTGGCTGGGATGAAGTTAATTTTCTTCCCAGTAGCTAGTATGGGGCTATGTTTCGGATTTGTGACCAAAACAAGGCTGGTAACACACCCATGTTTTAGTTACAACTGAGCAGTGCTTACACAGTCTCAAAGCCTCTTCTGCTCCTCAGACTGCCCCACCAGCAAGTAGGCTGGGGTGCACAAGAAGTTGGGAGGGAACACAACCAGGACAGCTGACCACAACTGACCAAAGGGATATTCCATACTGTACAATGTTGTCCTCAGCAATAAAAGCTGTGGGTAGAAGAAAGAGGATGGCTGGCATTCAGAGTTACGGTGTTTGCCTTCTCAACAACCATTACGTGCGATGGAGCCTTGCTTTCCTGAAGATGGCTGAACATCTGCCTGTAGATGGGAAGTAGTGAATGAATACTTTGGTCTGCTTTGCTTGTGTGCACAGCTTTTTCTTTTAATTTTTCTAAATTGTCTTTATCTCAACCCATGAGTTTTTGCACTTTTACCCTTCCAACTCTCTCTCCCATCCCACTGCAGGCAGCGAGAGGCTGTGTGGGACTGAGCTGCCTACCGGGGTTAAACCTCAACAAGCACACCCAAGATATAGCCTCAATAACTGAAGAACGCATCAAAGTATTAAGTTTACTCAAGCTTATAATCACAGTCCAACTGGTTGAGACTGAAAAAAGTTTCAAATTGCAAAAAACATTTAAATGCATGAAACCCAGTGGTTATCACCGCATACATTTAAATGTACAAAGCTGGACAGATATACCTGTGCAGCATGAGATCTAATGAGATCTGGGAGGACAGAAGGTAACAGCCAAATAGCAAAGATGATGTACATCAGCAGAAGTTGTATAGGAAAACACTTTGCTTTATAGGCACCTGACTTTCCAGAAAGCACTTTTTAGGTCAAAACTTTTGTCAAACTAATCAGTATACACAGTAAGTCTGATCACTGACCCTGTGCTGTCAGGTAAACCTAAAATAAAGAGCAAAATCTTATAAACCATCCTCTAAAAAAAAAAAAAGAAACAAAACTCTGACCTAACAGTGATGCAATGATAACTTCATATTTTTGTAACTCCACTTTTACAAAAACCTGCTAGGTTTCATACATTTACACGTTTTACAATTATGTTGATAAAATGAACTGAAAACTAACAATGCAGCTTTGCACAATAGCTTGCTTTCAGCCAATGGTTTGCTGCTGAAAGAACCCCATCTTCATCCCCACACACATTCCTGTCCTCTGCGCTAGAGCCCAGGCACTCATTTTTGATGGAGATGAGCTTATTCGGAGTGGAAAAGTATTTCTAATTTTTTGTTTGGTACGCTTTCTGCCACATCAGTGAGCTGAAGCGGCCTGCTGAATGCTCAGATGAGCACCAGGGTTATCTAAAGGCAGAGAGCGGACATAGAAGCACAGTGGTTTTTGTCCACGTTCAGGATGAAATTAGTTATCTTCTAACTAGTACTTTCTTTCCACGTCAGCTTGATGCAGCACACTTGCCTTTGCCAGAAAGCTGCAGGTGAGTACTGCACCTACTGCAGAAACAATTCCATTCACTGGAAAAACTCACCATAGCTAAAGAAGTAGAATTTTTCAAAATCTGGAAACAATATAAACTAGTATTATGTCCTTCACTTATAGCTGTTTGATGGTCACTTTAAAGTTACTATACTTTTACTGATGCTTTATGCATTTTATATATTTTATATATATATACACATAAAAAAATTTCCAAAATTACATTATTCTAAAAATACTTAATTTTCCAAGGACCACTTGCTGTGGGTTTTGTTTTGTGAGCAAACAAAAACCCACATTTCAGTTATATTGGCTAAAACAAGTTAGATGAAGCAAGACCAGGACATTAGCTCAAATTACTGCTTCTTCATTTGACTGAACTTAAAATTATTCTGAAAAAAAGAGGACAGTCCTATAACATGCATTAAACCCACAGAAAATAGGTTAACATTATCCTCTCTATTATAAACTGCCTGCTACACAACCAAAGCACGACTATTTTTAAAAGTTCAGATTTATTCAAGCCCAGAGTATTTAAGTGTATTTACAACAAGCTTAAAGTTTATCCCATCACAGATTCTAGCTTCTTTCCAAGAAGAAATATACCAAAAATCAGATAAAAACCCAGATTCTGTCATGAAAGCCTCTTATGTATTAGTAAATGAGAAAGGATCATGAATAATGAAACCCAGTCAGAAAAGCTGGAAGTCTGAGCTACTTTGTCAAGGATTTCAGCTAAAAGGAGTAGTTCACAACTAACCCTTCTCTCTTCCACAAAGTTACCTGCGAAGACTTTCCAGAAAGAGGTGAAGAGAATAAAGAACAGTTGATACTAGTTTATCTGCAGATGAGGATAAACACAGAGTTCGGAAAGCAGTGCGACTTCTTATATATTTGTGCGTGCCGCTAGAAGCAGCACCTCGCACCCATTCCAATGCGGCTGCCAGCATCAGTACACGCTTTCTAGTTTCACACACTTGTAACAGTGCTCACTCCCAAAGGGGAAATTTCAGACTTTTTCCATATTCTTAGAGTAATAAGGGTTATCTACTTCTTGTCTTACTTCAAACATGAGATATGCAAGAAAAATAGGAATCAAAAAATGCATGGAAGCACATTTAAAAAAAAATACGTAGCGAGCAACTGTCTAGAATCAGCTAGAGCTGGCTCAGGAGCCTGCAAGCGGTACGGCACCTCTGCCGCACCAGACCTCCGCGCACAAGCAGGAGCCGAGCCGCGCTGGCGCACGGGTTTCCGAACGACCCGAGGCAGCGGCCGGGAAGAGGGAGCAGCCAGCACACTCCCCCTGCCAGCACCATCAGCCGCTGGTCTAGAGTCAGGAGTCAGGGCTGGTCTAGAACCATACGATAGCAACAACACTCCTGAGGAGCCGCTGTCTTCTCCAACAGGTCCATTTCCAAGGGCATGTCCTCATTTTCGTAGGTGTTGCCGATGTACAGGGGCTCTCAAATGATATTGGTATATAACTATTATCTGGAAGACCAGCTACATCTTGCCTGGTTTCACAGAGAGAATATGACAGACTAAAACAGAACAAAACTATGGATCACATCCTTTTTCTCCTTAAGTTCTTCCTTTGTGTTTAAACAGTACAGGAACAGCTACAAGTGAACAATACAGTGGAAATCCAGAACCTCAAATTTTCATTTCATCCTAAGATAGTAGTTCTGGACACCAGACAATGCAGAAATGTGTTGGTAGGAAAGCACCACTACATGCTTGCTCTAGTCTTGCTTCACTTCCTAAAGATCTGTTAGAGTTAACTGTCAGAGACCACCAGATAGACCTTTCATATGGTCCAGAGCAACCACTCCCAATAATCAATACAGCCCTTAATTTTATAAAGATGTACCATAGATTACAGCTACATCGATCCAAGTTTCAATCGATTGCACTGTATGATCATGCTAAGTTTTGGTGAGCCTTAGGAAATGTTTGCATAGTCATATCATTAAATTTAAATAAATTGCAAAACAGGAAAGTTGACAGAAACTTCATATTTAATTTTAGTTACCCTGCTGTTTCTCTCCTTTCCCTCTTTTTTTTCCAGAGAGGTAACAAAAATATATTACTATCTTAATGCTAGGTAGCAATTACCTTCAAGTTTGTCAAAAATTGCTAGCTGAATTAAAGTTTAACTTTAAGAAGGACTAATAGAAAAAAGTCATATTTAAATGTAAATACTAAACAACCTAGCGGAAGAAAAAAATCGAAGACTTATCTCTAAGCTAACATTTCAACAAATTTGCATGGTTAGGGTTTTTTTCCTTTTAAAGATATGTACATGATGCACAAAACCAGCAAACAGGTAAAAGACAGCATATTCAGAAGCTGGAGAAAAAGGCAGTTTGTGTTCTTTCTTGTTGCTATTAGCTGCCCCCCAAAATACATTTTATCCTGAAAGGAAAATAGTGCTTCAGCATGACTAAGTCTTGCTAACACTGTAGTATGCAATTTTTAGATATGGTGTGCTTTAAGACAAAAAAAAACACTTTACAGAAGGATAGAAGAGTACAAGGGAACACCGTTTGTGACTGAAGCACATTTCATGGACTCAGATCTAAATTTACAAGATGTCATGTGAAAATGAAAAGCCGTATTATTCACCAAAATGCTAAAACACAGAAATTATCACAAGGGAAGATGCACTGACAGAACTGAATTTATTAATGGTCTAAAACTCAGGCATTCACACTTTTTCCATCCCAAAATACTTACAGGACATGGCAAGATTGCTATGGCAGAACAGCATCATTATTCTTACCAGATAGCAAGGCTTATGCTGAGAATATTTTCTACTTCAAAACAAATCCTTCAGTAATCAGACCTTTTTGTGGGCAAAGAAAAGGTCATTTCCACAGCTGGAGGAAAAACCACCACCAGCAAGCCAATAAACACTAGGGCTTCTGAGACAGCTGGTATTATGTGGTATACAACAATTACTAATTCACTTTATTCCTTTTGTTATTTGATTTTTTTTTTTAATTAACACCTTTCGCCATAACATGCAGTTTGGCAAGAAGTTCAAAGTAACCAAGTAAATTCAATGATACACTGTACATGTGGTTCTTCTGATCTAAGAATTTGCTGCTGTCAAAAGAAAAACCTTTTCTTGACATCTCTGCCTTGCTGCTCTTAGGCAGAAAATCCCTCCCCTTCCGCCAGCTCTGATCTGTGCCACACTCCTCTATGACATGATTCATCTCCCGCATTCGGCAAAACGTTAGCCACATTTTTCCTGGGTTAACAAATTTTGTTAGTCTGCAGTGGGGTATGGTTAAGTATCAAAACCAGTGCTGAAGTACATGTAAGAACAAAAGACAATCAAGGAATTGGTAAAGGAAAGCGAGAAGAAAAATCAAGATGCCACTCACTTAACTCCCTGCTTTCTGATGGTGGTAAAACCACAGGGAATACGGCAGGCCATAATTAAAAAAATAAATAAATAAAAACAAGCCAACCCCCCCCCCCCAGCCCTGCAACTAACTCCAGCACAGAAGTTCCACAGAAGCAAGAATCCCTGGGATTTGATTAAGTATCTTCTCCTCCTTTCTCCCACAAAACTGTAATTTGACAGCCAGCCTAAAAACTAAGTTTTAAAACCACACCAGTATGAAGATCATTTCTGTGATGAGGCTAGTTGAGGTACAGAAATACACCACACTCTGGGCTTAAAACTCCGTGCTGCTTTATTAAAGGACATGACAATATTACCAGTACTTTTATATAAAGCGATACAAGAGATACCTATGCAAATTCTCTATAAAGGAAAAGATTGCTGTAGTTCATTTGTACTTTCCTTCTTCTCTCAGATTGTTCTTAAGTCACCTCAATATTTGTACCACTTCAGAAACCAGAAGTTGCATAAAGACAGCACAGCATTTCAAAGTGTCTGTTCTGAAAAGCAAACAATGAAAAGCAAACAAACAGGGCTAAAGCACTTCAGAAACCCATAATTTCATTGGGTAACTTCTCGTTTTGGTACACTGTGAAGTTATTTGGTTTACATGGAAGAAACAACATTATTTGCTGCCTTAAAAATACTTTTATGATGAGAAGCTTTTTAAGTCACACATTTGTCCAGCAGTCACAAACATACTATTGTAGGAGCTACAGGTCCACAAATGATAGTCTTATTTAATAGCCCTTAATGAACTTATGAAAGATGATGACTTATCTTTCATAAATTTATCCAGTCACTGAACAACTGTTTCCTCTCTTCTCAGTGACACTCAGGACTTTAGAGACTCTCCCTGTCCCTCGCTCTCACAGACAGAAGAGTCCTTGTCTATGGGAATGACTTGAGTTTTCATACAATCACTGGTTCACGTTTCTAGAGTATCCTTGTTGGCCCTCCTCAGGTCTATTATACCCTGCCTGGGATGAAGGGATTAAAAGTGCCTGCAATACTGAAAATCGGATTTACAGCAACAATGACGCCATGCTTTGTGCGCTGCTCCATTCCTAGTAAATCCTGTGATTCTCTCTGCTTTTTAGCAATTACTTGCACTGAGCTGGTACTTTCACAAAACTGTCATTATAAACTCCAAAACCTTTTTCTTAAGTAAAAATAAATTCAGAGGCTACCATTGTGTGAGTAAAGAAAGGACCTTTTTCCCATACATATCACTTCACATCAATGAGCATAATATATATTATTGGAGAAGGACTTTTTCATAGAGGGACAAGCCTTCACAATCAGTCCTTGCCTTCACTACCCCAAGTAACTCTCTCATCAGCAAAGCTGTTTCCCAGCAATTTATGACTGGGACTTCCAGTGATTTCCAAACAAAACCTTTGAGCAGCACAAATTCCCAAGAGATACCACTAATGCCCTCTCACCATTAATTTGCATCTTTAACTAGTTTCTCTATCCAGAGAAGGACTGTTTCTTAAGTTCAGCTTAAGTCTGTGGTAGGGGACTTCATAGAATGCCTTCTGGAAATCTAGATAGATCACATCAACTATGTTGCCTTAACTATATGTTAACTCAGACAAAGGATTTTAACAGACTTGGGAGATGTTGAATGTTTTATAAGGCTGCTTGTCTCTTCAACTCAGCACCTTTCACATGTCCACTATCTCTGCTCTTGGTTCAGCCTACTAGTGAGCAGTTACCACTCTTTCAGTAATTCCTTTTAAAAACTGATCTCACCACTGCCTCTTTCCAGTCTTCTGTGATTGGGACAACTTAAAGCATGGGGTTATACTTTCTGGTTAGTAGTTTGCTTGCTTCATTCCTGAAGTCCTTCACATGTGCAAACACATATCATCTGGACAACTGACTGCTCTTCACTTCAGTTTGTTCAAACCATCCCTTCCCCAACGATGCATTCCTTCGCCTCCAATTCTTTAAGTTCTTTCATGATGCACAGACAAAACCAAAGCTTTTCTCTTGTTTCAACTGCATCTTCTCTGGGTGAGGAACTGGCTGGATGG